TGTGGCTGCCTGAATATTTTATATTTTGTCCTCCAACTGAGCTGATTCTCCCCTGCTTTCCTGCATTAGTAGCCTAGGAAATAGTATATTTAGCTTTTCTTATTGTAGAGGCACAACAGAATGGATGCCTCAGCCCTGTTTCCTTCTCACCCACAGCTTAAACACAATTAACTTTTCATTTGATGCATTCTTCCTGTCTGCACTCATAATGCTCCCCCAGGAAATGAGAGCCAATAAGTCCTAGCCAGGAGTAGGAGAGCAGGGTACTGACCAAATATTGTATAATGCTGTATTATAGGCCTATGGGAAAAAAGTTAATTAAAGACCACTGATATCCTTTGGGAAAATGTTTAATATATTAGCTCTTGCAGCACAACCATGCAGTGCAAACACATCCCTCCTCTTTGGAAAATGTGAATATATTACACATTTGGGAAAAAACCAGCAAAATCCAGCAGTGTTTTTATTGGTCATTGGCCACAAATAAGTCCACTAAGATACACAAAGAGCACACAAAGAACATTAACTTCAACAGATGTGATCTCTGCTGTGGCCTATACATCACCTTCCTGAATTGGGAAGCACCTTTGCACAATTCAGGTACTAATATATGTTTTTTCCAACAGTAATAACAATTAATAAACATTTCCACATCATTCCTTGGGCTTGGTGAGCACAAAAGAAGACTCAAAGACAAACCCAGGCTTCCAAAATACTGCCAGAATAGGAGCCCTGTAAGCCTAAACATTCTTTATCCAAAAACTAGAGTTGAGAATGTCTCTATCCCTGCCTCACTCTCCCCATAGGGATGGACAACATTGACATGCTGCAAGGTATTAATTTGGAAAGCCAAAAACTCAATGCTCCAATAGCCAGACATTTTATGCAGTAGGAAAGTGGAGGTTTATTGAATAGCTTTCTCATTAGCACACATTTCCAGAGGAACAAACCCAGTCTCTGAGGCCATATTAAGCAAGCCTCATGGCTACGTTTTCTTTTACTGGTGTTATTAACCCCCCGGAGCAGGTGCCACATTTCAGCACCTGCAACAGGTTCACACAATTGTTAGATTTGCATTTGAATGCAAATAGGGTGTTTCCTTGAAAACGAGCGAATTTTTCCAGCAACAGGCTCCAAGCTGCACGAATCAGGATCTCAGCTTGCACTGACTTTGATGAGGCACAAGCACACTGGTACCCAGATCCCTTGGATGTCGCAGGAGAGCAGCAGGAAATGCTCAGAATTGCTCTGAGCTGGTGGATCACACAGGAGGGAGTCCCTAAGCCTGCAGGCTCTGTGACTGCCACCATGGTTGACAGGCTGAGAAAAAATTATTTAACCAAACCACGAAACAGGGATAACAGGATTTCTAGTAGGATCTGAGACTCTGCCTGGTGGGAGGGAGTCCCCCCTTCCTGCACAGCCCCAGAGCATCACAGGTAGCTGCTGTCCCAGTGAGCAGTGATGTGTCTGACACACAGATGCCAGCCCCAAAGCTGGCAGCACAGCATCTCCCTGCCAGGCTGGGACCTGCTGCAGGCATCTGCTTCCAGCCCTGGGCAGGGCACACAGCTCAGCAGCAGCCCACAGGGCTTGCATTCCACCTTACACTGCAGAATTTAAGGCAGAAGCATTGATGTGGAAGCTGAACTCCAAAGATGTGCACTCAGTGTAAGTGAGGAGCAAACAGGGATGGAAAACAGCTGCAAGCACTGTTGAACCAGACCTTTCTTTTATTTACACTGCTATTATAGGTCTGTGTGTGACAAGCAGCTTGCTCTTCTTTAAATAGGACACTGGCACTGGATCTTGCCATGAAAATTGACTTATATGAACAGTTTCCCCCAACCCACTCACACCCACACTGGTTTTCAGCAGTGCATCTCAGAACACTTCATTCCAGAGGAGGAGGAGGAAGGATGACCTGGCCCACCAGGTGCTGCCCAAGCTGTCACCTGCCCAAATCATGTCAGAACTGTATCCTGCAGTTACCACTGCCAGCTCCAACAAAGACATCAGCCCCCTCAGTGGGACACTCATGGCACCACCAGCAGCAACAGCGGGATCAGCTCAAAGGAATGTCCTCTTTGTTACTTCTTTTGGGACATTCTTTTGCTTAAAAAATAAACCTACCCACACACAAATTCATTATAATCACACACATGTTCTTTTTCTGGTTCTTAAAAAAGCACATCTGCGACGAGGCCACCCACAAACTGAAATAAGAGTCATTTGTCTAGCAGGGTTTTCTGGTGGAATACACAACAAGAAAGACACAGTCTCTGTGCTAAAATTAAGTGTGTATATTCACCATGCTTTTAGTTTTGACTTTAAGCTTTAACTACAAGGTGCTTCCTAAACAGAGTTATTGTGTCTATGATTTATCAGGCAACATATTGCTCTTTACTTTTCTAATTACAAACACCTTTTCCCAACACTCAAATAATTGTTTCCACAAAAATAACCTCACGTGAAAGGGGTAATAAGAACAAAATGATGTTTCATTAAGACCATTAACGATTTTTTATTAGCAGTTCCATCAGATTTAAATGGCATCTTTAGTCAGTGCATGTGCATATGTATAATCTGTGTCAGATTTGTCAGCTTTTGATGGATGTTTTCACTCTCACTGCTATTATTACTCTTATATAGTAATAGTGGCAACAGGGACCTAGTTTATTAAACCTTATGTTGCATCTGCCACAACGCCCTGGGGCTGGAGTGCAGTCATCTATTCCAAGCACTATTCCTTGCAATTACACTTGATTGTTAACTGTATATGTTCAGGACCACTTACATTTGAGTGCTGCAGTCCTGAGGTTTTCTTCTGATGGGCCCTGCTCAAGCTCCAGGACAGTTAATGGGATTATCCAGATCATTACAACTGAAACACAAAGTGAAAGTACATTAGCATGGCT